AATAAAAATTAATAAGTGAGTAGCAATGATAAACAAATCATTATAGTGCCAAGAGCTGAAGTACATTTATGAATAAAGAATGAAATTTGGACTAAAGACAGTCACTAACTCATCTTAAAACTAAGCTAAAAACAGCTGGACAAAGAAATTGACATTTAAAATTTTAAGTTAGAGCGATGAGGAAAAAATTCCAGGCATAGAAAACAACATAAGAAAAGGCAAGGGACTATGCCTCAGGCAACAGACATTTAGGAAAAACAAAAATCTCAAGGTGATAAGAGACTTCTCATTCATCTTCAGTTCTTCACCAATAACCACTGAGTGGCATTTTGCTGAGTAAAATCAAAATGCAATTAGAAAAACATGGGGTTTATTCTTGATAAGCTAAAAATCTACTAAAGGACCTTGAATCCAAATGGGAAATCTTCCACGCCACTAAATCCTCATTTTTCCATATTTATTGCATACCCACATATTTGAGTATGAGTTCTCTGGTGTTACATAACATATGAACAAGAATCAGAGTTTTCCCACACTCATTACATTTATATTTTGCTCCTGTATGGTTTCCATAATTAAGACCTGATTTTGACTGATTTTTCCATTCTCCTCATATGAATGTGGTTACTGTCCATTATGAACTCTCTGATATCTAATTTGAACCAATAAAGAATGAGTATAAAAAATAGGCATTTTGTAAGGGGGTATGTTTGCCAGGATATACATATGTAATTGTATGGTTTCTTGGGTCCTTTGATGTCTTGTTTATTCACTGTGGTGCTCTGCTCCCAGAACCAGTCACTCTTACACAGAAGTCTACAAGAATCACGATGATATTAAACTGAAGTCTAATACAGGACTATGGAGAGGCTTTGATATCTCTTTCTCTCAGCCATTGAAGTCCCTTCCAAGGGCATAGAGCTTGATGACTAGAGCACAGTTTGATGTCAGCCTCCACTTGCCTCCTGCCAGGCCTGGTGCCCTTGTGCAGGATGCAACTGGTATATCCATCTACCAGATCCTTGCAAACACATGGGGAAGAAAGCCTTGGACCTTCATCCACCTCCACTTACCTTAGCCAATCAAATCATCACTGAACATGCTCAAGGAGGAAGGGCTTTGTAAAAATCAACCTCTCCCAAGTTAATAAAAAACAAGGGGGAGTGGGCATTGCTAATACAATACAGACAGAAACTATCATTAAGACACATTGTAAAATAAGTGTTTTTGGTCCACAATTTCTATGATCTCTGTGATATTCTGGTCTTCCATGCTAACCCTGCTTTCTGGAGTCTATGGTATAGGACTTTAAAAACCAAAATCAAAACAACCAAAAAAAATGACATCTGGGAGTTGACTGAAGATAATGAAGACCTCAAACATAATTTTGGCACATTAGGTGGCTGAGTGAAAAAAAAAAAATAGAATTCTTTTTGGACTATGCTGCACTGACCCAAGACACAGAACCCAAGCTTCTGATCTTCCTGAAACAAGCTGATGTCCACAGGCCACTTTACTTAGTAGGGCACCCACTGCTGTAGTATTCATGACACAAGACTCTGCAGCATGAAAAAATTTCGAAGAAACTTATCACATAGGCAGTGCTGGAAACTTTTCCTCCCTGCTGATAGCTACAAGTTTGTGTGCAAACTTGAAAGAATATCTAATACTGGTACCTTCTTGACATATCTCTGAATAGGGTACCATCTCCAGGGGAAATTTTTATCTTAGAAGAACTACCCAATCCAAATCTTCAGACTTACCAAATCATGCAAACAACTGAACAGGACCTCTGGTTGCTCTGCATATAAAACTAAGTATGAAGGAATTTTCTGGTAAAGAAATCAGTTGAAAAATATAAACCATTGGGGTGCCTGGCTGGCTCAGTCAATAGAACATGTGACTCTTGATCTCAGGGTAGTGAGTTCAAGCTCCACACTGGGCATGGAGCCTACTTAAAAATAAAAAACAACAACAAACCATTAACAAGTAATCCATAAAGGATAAATATAAATTCTTGGGTCCTTGCTTTCAGACCCAGGGAATCTCTAAGTATGGGACCCAGGAATCTGTATTTTTAAGATGTACCCTGGTGATTCTAATATAGATAGACCTTGAGAACCACCAAGCAGATAAAAGCTGCCTAACAACTTACTCTAGATATTTCCACATTGTTCATTCATTCAAAAAACATATGTCCAGTGTCCTCATGGAGTTTATATTCTAATGTGAGGAGAGAGGCAATAACAAATAAGTAAATAACCATATATCGGGACCATAGGACACATGGTATGAAGTTAGTTCTACATACCCAAATATGGTAGGACATGAAGATAAAGTGCAATGGGATGAGAGAGAGGGAATGCTACTTTTAGACAGGGTGGTCAGAAAACCTGGAAGAAGTGAGAGGACGGTAATATATATATCTGAGAGAAAAATATTATAGTATGAGAAAACAATGAATGCAAAGGTCCTGAGGCCAGCACAGCCTGAGAGTAGTGAGGGGTGCCAGATTATGAGGACCCTACGTGCAATGGTAAGTATGTTGCCTTTTATTACCATGGAAGGTTTTGAGTAGAGCAGTGGCATGGCCTAACTTACTTTTTAAAGGAGGCATCCAAGTGAAACAATTTTATGAATCAAAAAATTCAGTGAACTTGTTGTCCTATTTATAACACGAAAGTTTGAAGAAAGCTAGGATTTTAAAAAGTATCAATGTTATCAGTTATGTGAATGTTAGTAAAAAGTATCAAAGAGCACATTTTTAAAATAGTAAAGGCAAAACAGGTAAAATTGGTTATAATCAAGTCATAGCCATGCCTCCTTAAAACAGCAGGTTTGAGAGTCAAATAAACCAGGTTCAATTTCAAGTTCTGCCTTCAGCTTTCTCACTAGCAAAATAGGAGTCATATGTACTTCCTAGGTCACTGTGGAAATTAATTAAGATTATATATGCCTAGCAAGTAGAAGGTACTCTCTTATGGGTAGCCATTATTATTAGTGTTATTTTGTCTGCATTGACTGACTATTCCACAAAATGGGAGAGTATTGGTCAATACTAATATTTCATTTTTTTCATCTCCTATGCTGCATTTTCCAAATCTATCTTCCAGGTTACTCTTTTTTGCTACCATATGTACTCTGCTAGTTAACTCATCCATTGAGTTTTCATTGCAACAATTATAGTAGTCTACTTGGTTCTTTTTCAAATAATTTTTGTAGTCTTTATTTCTTGCCTTAGTTTTGCAATTGCTTTCTTATTTCTTTAAATACTTTATATATGACTTTTGCATTCTATGTCCAATATTCAATATATATAGTCCTTGGGTCTACTGTGTTTGTTGTCTCTGCTGACTCTTACTCATGGTGTATGAATTTGAGATTTGAACTGTACTGTGAGCTAATATTGAGGGCATATATTGGGGGGATGCTTTCTTCAGAGAGGCTTTGTGATGTTTTGCTGGGATCCAGAAATGTTATTGGCCTGGCACCACACGAGTTCCCTTTTGGGATCTCAGTTCAGCCTAAAAGTCTTTGCCTCGCCTCTCCTACATAGCTGCTAGTCCAGAGTTCCTCACCTGCAGTGCCAATGTTGGCATTTGCTTTCAGGAAATCTATCTGTCCTTCCTGTATTTGGGGCTTGCCAGTCTTATTTTAGCCCATGGTCTTTTTCTCCTTTTGCTTTTAAGCCTAGCAAGGTCTATTTTCCAGTGGGAAATGAGTGGGATCTAGTTGTTTTATAAAGAAAAATTCCCTCACAATAAGTGAATTTCTTCATTTGATTTAAGGCACGTAGCACTACCCAACATTATATTGTATAACTACTTGTTAATGATTTTATGGCCAGTTTTCCTACCAGGATGCAAGTCTCCAAGGAACAGGGACTTTGATTCACTGCTGTATCCCCAGTGACCAGAACTCAGTGCTTAGTTCATAATACAGCCTGGAGCTTAACAACTATTTCTTGAATGTTGAAATGAATTAATGAATAAATGAGTGAATTCCATCAATAAATTCATCATTATCAGGTATCCCATCTAATACAAAGATGAATCTGGCAAAGTTTTTTTCCCTTGAGATACTTAATAGAGTAGTAAGGTAGAAAGTGGAAGTTAAAAGGGAGATAAAAGTAATAAATTTAATAAGGTACATGCAATATACACACAAAGAGTGTAAATAATGCCGTATCAGAGCTATCTGTCTCCTGGCCACATTCAGTAGCTTTTAACCTCATCATATAAGCCATGCATAGGGGAAGCAACAGGATCAATTTTATGCTTTTGAAAGACTTTGGTGGAGTATGGTAGATGAATTAGGGCAAGCAAGATTGAAGGCAGAGAAAGAAGATAAAAGATTACTGTAGTCCAACCTTTATTCAAAAAAATTTTTTTGAGTGCGTGTGATAAGCCTGGCACCAGTCTATGCACCGAGGAAATATTTATGAACAAGACAGGTAAGGTCCTGCCCTCAGAGAGCGTATATTCTAGTTGGCTAAAATAAAATAAAGAAGTAAACAGATTAACACAGAATAATTATTATTATGTAAATAATTTCACTCAGCGGTAGGTGCTTTAAAGAAAGTAGAACAAGATTATCAGCAATAGGGTTAGTCGGCTGTGGTGGCAGCCACCCAGGGAAGGCCTCTTTGAGGAGGGAGTATTGGAAGAGAGACCTGAATGACAAGAAGGAGGCCCCCCAAAGGCAAGTCAGAGGGACAGAAGGTTTCAATTAAGGGGAATGGCAAGTGCGACCCTATGTTTCGTACTTCAAGGATCAGGAAGTAGACCACTGTGCCTGGCAGACTGAACAAGTAATGACAGAGTATTTGTTGAGTTTGGAGAAGCAAGCAGGGGCCAGACCACCTAGCTCCTTATAGCTGTGGTAGGAAGTTTGGATGCCATTCAAAGAGCAGTTGGAACAGTGGTAAAGTCCAAGGCAGGAGCGGCGGAATGTTATAGGACACGTTTTAAAAAGTTCACTCATATGGTCGCTCTTTGAAAAAAGGGCAGCAAAAGTCCAGAAAGAGGTGGTATAAACTACTGGGTTGGGCAAGATATGAAAAGTCCCTGAGCTCAGGCTCTCTCCGTGCTCACCTACCTCCCCTTCTTCGATTAGAACTTCTACAGCTTATTTATCACAGAACCCGTCACCCCCACCAGGGCCCGGAATGCAGTGGAGATGAAGGGGTATTTAGGAACAGTGCTTGAGTGAACAAATGGCTGCTGGAGGCTCTTGCGCTTACGTGGCCTCAGCCAGTAAACTCAATTGCTGAAAGGATAATGTTAAGCAGAAGGTTCAGTCACAATGCAGATCAGTTCAATTTGAGGCTACGTTGTAGTCACAGATCATGATTACATTGTAATTACAGCAATTGTGGTAACGTCATCTATTTGTTTTGCAAGTGCCTTTTGCCATAGTGAAGTCTGGATAATTCTATGTATATAATCCAGTACAAATCTATCACCCATTAGAAATTAACTGCAAAGAGATATGTGCTGTGTTTTATTTGTCAGTAACATTATCATCACATACGAAAAAGATAACGTATGGTGAGGGTATTTTTACTGCTACTAAGTATGAAGCTTTAGAGATGATTCTATTTAGAATTACCAGTGGAATATTCTGTTTCTATAAAGCAAACTAGTCTCAAATTTTTTAAAGCACACTTCCAGGAAATAACTACTCCTCCAGAGCAGTGGGAGTATAGAATTTTGGTTAAGAATATGGCTTTGGAGCCAAACATACGAGAGTTTGAGTCAACATTGCTACTCATTAACTGTGTGATCTTGGGTAAGGTATTTCCTCAACTCTGAGTTTTTGGAAAATAGTACCCATGCCCAGAGTTTTTGTGAGGATCGAAGGAAATGCCATTACTCTTTTAGGCTTCTCAGCATCTAAATTCTATGTCGTAGAAGTTTCCATTTATGAGTTTGGGTGGAAGAAAAATCGTCTTACCCTGTTAAGTGTTACAAGTGCTCACACTTTTGTTTGCTGGATTTCCTCGAAGGGAGGCCAGAAGCATGTAACCTTGGGCTTCCTCCTGCAGCTCTAATGAAGTGTTGATGCAGGTGTTCGTGGCAGAGGAGGGAAAGGACTAGGGGCTCAGCTGCCAGGCCCGTGGTGGCAGTGGTGGTTCCCAGGCAGGGCTCTGATGCAGAGGTCACACCAGCTCGGGCCACATCGGCTGCATTAAAACAGCTTCTGGTATAGAAGCGACATCAGTGCAAACTACCATCTCGTGCTTTGTGATAATGACAGCAGTTTCCTTTATCAGCCCAGTTTTGTGTCTGTCATTACTCCCGGAAATTCAGCTGAGAGCCTGTTTCTCCCGGTTTACAGGCAATTCAATGAGCAACCGCCCGCCACTGACTCACCCTTACGGTGTAACCAGCCAGAGTTAGCTTTGGTTGCTGGTTACCAAGAGTTTTGGTTGAGGGGCACCTGGGTGGCTCAGTTGTTAGGCGTCTGCCTTCGGCTCAGGTCATGACCTCGTGGTCCTGGGATCGAGCCCTGCATCGGGCTCCTTGCTCCGTGGGAAGCCTGCTTCTCCCTCTCCCACTCCCCCTGCTTGTGTTCCCTCTCTCACTGTGTCTCTGTCAAATGGATAAATAAAATCTTTTTTTTCTTTAAAGAGCTTTGGTTGATTTAGTTGTACCCCTAGACTCAGCACAGTGACCAGCTGAGGGTCCTCAATAAAGGTACCCACAGGAGTAATGGTTATTAGCAACATGTCCTGAATTTCATCTACGTATTGAATTTTATAATGATGCTTTAGTGATTTTGCTCCACATTTAAGAGCTATATTTAATATTGCCTTTATTAGTATGTCTTTTTGAAGTGGTCTATTTATACTCTGAATTACATCTTAATTAATCTACAACTCTTTACTAGACTATAAGCTTCTGGAGGCAGAAACTGTCTTGTTCACAAATGGATTTTATTTTCTGGCATAGTGCTTGGCACAGGTGGGTCCTGTAAAGGAGGTACATTGTGAGCTAATAGATGAAATAGAGGTGTCAGCTCACCGGGCTAGGGGATTGGGCAGATCTCTAGCCTGGCATTATCTCAGTGAGATGGTTTGGTCCAGGATAGGTCCTCAGCTCCACAGACCTAGGAACTCAATATTGGGCCTTAGCCAAAGTTGGCTATTGTCTTGGAGGTAGACTCAGACTAAACAAATTCTTAAGAGTCTGATGTATAAACTATATTTATTTCCTCTAAGAAATACAGCTTTTGGGTGGTCTGGAATTATGTTCATTCATTCATTTGATGAATTTTAAGTATTTACTATGTGTTAGGTGTTGTTATATCTTTGTATAAATAGTGAACAAATAGTTAAGATCATTACTGTCATGCATTTTGTATAAACTATGTCAACAAATATATAAATGCTGATGATGGTAGCTGTTATAAAAAATATAGACATATAGCAGGATAAAAGGATGAAAATTATTAGGAAGGAGTCTGTGCTATTTGAAATTGGAGAATCAGGGAAGGTGTCCCTCAGGAGGGACATTTAAACTGAAACCTGAATTAAGTGAGGGAAGAAAATACCAGAAAGGGGAAATATTAATTGAAAGGCTCTGAGGCAGAAATAATCCTGGGGGTGTTTGAGGAATAAAAAGTAGGCCAGTGTGGTAGGCAGCCTCTAAGATGGCTTTCAATGATCTCTGGCTACTGATATTTACACCCTTATGAAAGTCCCTCCCCTTGAGTGTGGGCTGGATGTAGTAACTAGCTTCTAATGAATAAAATGTGGCAGAGGTAATGGAATGTCACTGCCAATATTCAGTTGCAAAAAGACGGTGGCTTTGGTCTTGGGTGTTTTTTGCTGTCTTATTTTTATACTGTGCAGAAAAACTTAACATGGCAGGCCCGAGAGGCCAACTTGTAAGATTAGCCCTCGGCTAGTATCTGGGAACTTGGCTGGTAAACAGTTCCTTACACTGCTATAAAACTTTCCCTGACTGATAAGGGAGATTCACTATGCCTAGACTGATTGTGCAAACAATATGTTTATGTTGAACACCTGCTTTCTACCTGGGAGTCTGGAATTTCAATATACATTAGGCAGAGGGTACCTGTATGAGCAGCACCCAATAAAATCTTCAGGTGCTGAGTCTTTCATGGGCTTTCCTGGGCAGAAATATTGCACACATATTGCTATATTTTCTTTGCTGGGAGAAGTGTGTGATCTGTGCAAGCCTTTACTGGAGGGTGAGAGCATAGGGGATCCTGCAAATAGGTTCCTCCAGACTTTGTGTCTTTTTCCTTTACAACTCAACTGTGTGTCTTTACTACATTGCTTTGATAAATCTTAGTGTGTGTACAACTACATGGTAAGTCCCATGAGTGCTTCGTAGCTCATCTCTGAACGTGGAGGTGGTCTTGGGGACCTCCAACACAATGGCTCTGATGAAGCAAGCAAACAAAACCAAAAAATCACTTTCATGAGACTATACCAACTTTTGATTTTTATGTTTTTTGTATTTTTTTCAGTTATCTTTTCTATTCTTGGCTAAAGATATTTGTCTGAATCTTAGATTCTGATCAACACACTAACATTCTTGATTCAAATATAATTAAAAATTTAAATGACATTCAATTGAAATGTAAATTTTAAAATCTTGATCTGTAATGCTTTATATTAAAAGCTCTGTGCCTTTTTGAAATGGAGATGAAGATATTATGTTCGCTTCTCCTCTCCTGTCAGTTTGAGGCCTGAACAGAAGGGGAAAGTGCTGCCAGGACCAGAGGGAATACCCCTGCACTCACATTGAAAAGAAACAAAGATGGGAGGTTGAAAAGCATTAAATCACACATCTTTCATTCATTCATTCAACAGACACACTGAATGTATTAGATGTCAGGGGCTCTTCTTGGTGCTAGGGGACAGCTGTGAACAATTTATATATGGTCCTTACAGAGGTTTCCTTGCATGGGCTATGTGTACGTCTGATAATTAATAAATGTCAGGTAGTAATAAGTGTTATTATTATAATAAAAAAATGATACAATTAGACGGTGGGACTAGAAGGTTAGAAGATGGCCACTTTTGGTTGAGTGGTCTTTCACGTATCAGATTTACTCCAGAAGAAAATTGTATGATCCACAGTGTTTTAACTATTTTAACATCAACTGCCGATCTTTAATATTTGGGAGATTTCACATAAAATCTAAATTTTTACCTTCTCTTGAAAAATCAGAAGATAGAATTATGCTGAGTGGATATTTCTGCATGGCAACAGTATTCTTTTCAATGGGAAATGTCTTTCCTCTTCTTCATAATTCCCCCTTACCTAACAGAGCTGCTGCTCTCATTTACAATACCTGCTTGCTTCTAAATTCTGAAAAATTTTCAAACCCTAGGCTAGTAAAAGAACAGGGGATGGATCCAAAGTATCTAGAAAGCCATGAGCTAAGGAGCAGTGGGGAACAGGTCTAGACACCTATGAAGCCATCTGAGATCATTTTTTTGCCTGGTCCCACCATGGGCTTGTCATGGTATATAGGGTCTGTTTTTTTAAAAAGTGTGCAGAGTAGACCAGAGAGTTTAGTAAGATGGAAAAAAGAATGAACTGGTGGTCAGATTCTGCTGCTATGTAGCTATATAATTTTACATGATCACATGTTTTTATATGAGTATATGTTTTTCTAAAATTGGGAAAAATAAGATATTTAACCACTATTTCTTTCCACTCAGAATTCCCATTTGTTAGACTTTCTTGAATGTCAGACGGCATTGGAACGGCAATGGGCATCTTGATAAGGAAAGGTAAGGAAAGCTGAGTTGGGAAGGAGCCACTTTACAATTTGGAAAGGCATTTTTGAATGTTTCAGCAAAACCAGCCAGAAATGATAGACTTTTAATTTGAAAATATACAAAGCTATCTTCTTTTGTCAGCTTTAAATTTATTAAAGAGCTGATAAAAAGTCATAAAAATTTAATGCAATATGAAACAAAAGGGATAAAGAAGACCAATGAAACCAACGGAAATCATTCTGACATTGAGA